TTTATTCCACAGTTACCTGTTTAGTTCCTTTTTTGCTAAGCACTAGGGATAGGAAACACTAGGACATAGAGCCTGTTCTCAAATAGTAACAGTCAGTCTTCATGACTTGTGGCTTCCATATTTGCAAGCAAATTCTCATGGTACTTTCATAGCCATCTGCAGACTAGCTCGGCAGAGGGGTGGGATTTGAGCTGCCTGAAGCACGGTCCCAGCCGAGGTCAAACGAGGCAATGTTCTGCCTTCTTGTTTCAGCTGCCATGCTGTTAACAAGTCTCTTCGTCGCAATCTATTTAGTGCCACATTTTTCCTATTTTTGTGCTTTTCATTGGTGATTTCACTATTTTAAATGGCCCCCAAGTATAGTGCTGGAAAGCTCTCTAGTGTTCTAAGCACAAGAAGGCTGTGAGGTACTTACGGAGAAACGGCAACTGCTCAATAGGTTCCTTCAGGCATGAGTTCAATGTCAATGAGCCAATGATTCAGCACTTTCAGAAAAAGAAAGGAAAACCACCGATCTGTATGTGATTCTGCTCTAGAAAATGCTAAAGTAATAACTAGAATGCCTGATGAAGCTACGGAGAAGTAGCTGAACTTAATGAATTCATGAAGTGACAACTGATGTGAAAAACAACAACCACAATATAGTGGACAGGATTGTGAAGTTAAGAGCCAAGGAAATTTATAGTAACATTATCCAGGGTCAGAAAGCTGTTAAACCCTTCTCAGCTGGTGTTTTATTAAACAGAAATATTGCATGTGATTAATTATTTTTAACAAATATACATTAAATTAGGTGTCTTCCAACAGAAATGTACATAAAACAAGTTTATATATTGATCTACTGACAAAAATGTCATGACCAGAGGCCCACAGGAACCTAAGCCAATATTTCCCCTAGGAGCAATGATTCAGTATTTGCTAATTTGATGTTTGCAGTAACTTTATAGAACGTAACCACTGCGAATAAGACTTGGCTGTAAATGTAGTATGGGAAAGAGACAGGTAATCGATTGCTCTGCAAAGTGTTCAATACTAAGCCTCCTCAGCAGCATTCGGGGGAATGCCACGGATGTGACTAAGTGACTAAGTTCTACATTTAAATACATTTTTTTCTGGAAAAACTTTTGGAAAAAAATGTTATATTTTTGCTTTTTAAGTTATTTGTGTATGAGCAAATGATTAGCTTATGATTAGCTATGATTTCTTCACAATCATCAGACATACTCGGGAAATCTTGCAAGGGAGAAGATCTAGCCCACAAATCATTTTCAAATGTATTCAAGTTTTATGAGTTTAAAATTTTACAATTAATGAACTGGATGTTGTGTTAATGTTTGGTCGACAATTACATACTTACTATTGACAATATCAAGTTTGCAACTTTTCATTTTATAGCCAATAATATTTTGTTTGTTTTGGCTCGACTCATATTTTATTTTTTTAGGCCCTGAGAAAGTTAATATTCTTTGGTCACCAAGGGAAGAGCAAGACTTTGGGAACTCTGAAGCTTATGCAGTTCGAGGGTCCTTTTAAGAAAAAGAGCACAAAATTACAAATACAAAATTAGGCCCCTTGGAAGAGGTATTATTAGCTCCCAGGTTAATTTGCCTCTGATCAGCATGACAGCCTATTGAATAAAAGGTCCCCTGCAGAGGCAGCTCTGGGAAGACCAGGTAGGAAGCTATAGCAATAGTTCAAGAAAGTAAAGATCAAAGTCCAAACATGAGGATGGAAAGGATGCAAGAGAGACAAGAGATATTTAAGAGGTTGGTCTGACAGGACATGGCATTTGATGAAGAAAGCCTCACCACAATGCATTCTGCTGGGATGACAGTGAGTGAGAAGAGGGAATACAGAAGGGAATATGGGTGGTTGGATGGAGCAGATTTGGAAGATATATGAGTTCAGTTTTGGAAATACCAAACCTGAGATGGTTGTGGACCACCTCCAGGCACCACCCAGTGCATTCCGGATGGAGATGGATGGGAGTCATTTTATGTCTATCTGGGGTTCAAGAGAGAGGACCGGCCAATGTGCACTGGACAGCTGTTGGCATGTGAATGGTCTCTGAAGCCCAGGAGACTGAAATTGATGAGCTCTCCCATGGAAGTGCATACATTGAAGAGGGAGGCATGAGGGAGAGATACACCCTGGGCAATGCCAGCATTTAGATGTAGAGATGCACAGAAGAAGAAAGAAGAAATGTGTGTTTCTTCAGTACTGTTCACTGAGAGCCTACAGGTGCTATGGGCTGTGTAAGGTGTTGTGGGTTAGAGAAGCAGCGTCAGGTGCAGAGGCTGTAAGCTGGGCAGGAGGGAGGCAACAGGGAGCTGGATCTGGAGGGTGGGCACATTTGGGTTTTCCAGATGAGGGGATTCATGAGCAAGGACACAAAGCTAGCTAGAAAACCAGGAAATAGTGAGCCATGCATTCTGCCTAGAATATAGGCTATCCTGAGAGAGAGAGAGGGAGAGACCGAGATGGAGACAGAGAGCACCATATGAACGTGATGGGTTGGAATTAAATTATGGATGGGCTTTTGAAAGCCAAAATATGAAGTTTAACAATGGGAGCCTCTGATGATTTTTGAGTAGAGGAGGAGTTTTTTTAAGCAGATATGCATACAGTTGGCTCTCCAGAGACCAAATATGCTTACAATAGAAACAGCAAGAAGTAAGGTGCCTGAACTCAGAGGGTCGCTGCAGGCATATGGAGGAGGGATAAAAGCAAGTGATCTTGGACAGAGGGACTTACAGGATTTTACTGACAGGACTCACAGGCCCTAGGACGAGCAAGTAAAGATGGAGCCCACATTTTGAGTCTTGATGGCTAGGGGGCAAGTTCAGCATTCGCCGATATTGATCTGTAAAGAATATAAACCCGAAAGCCTTTGAGCAATAGAGCTCCCTCTCTGTGCGATTCCTCTGTGTGACCTGCACAGGGGTTGTGTTACTGTAGCCCCAGTTCACGAGGCTTCACCCCGCACACAGGTTGAGAGGAAGGTCGGACTCAGCTAACATGCCCACGTTTCCTCATTCTGCAGTTGGCTTTGTCATTACTGTTGTTTGTTTCTGTCGAATCCTTGGTTTTCATCTGGTGGCATTTCATCTGGTTGGGTTTGGCCCCAACACCCTTCTCCCTGAGCTTCTTTTAAACTTCCCTGTCTTCCCCAAAGGGAGCTGGTCCTCCCAGTTTCCCAACCCCTCTCACAGAGATAAGCATGCCTGCTGGGAATTTCACTTTGGTTTTGTCTCAGAACCAGCCCATGTCCCTCATATTTACTAATAAAGGGGAGGACAGAGGGTCACACTTCAGCCTCCAGGAGTTCTCCTCTGACAGAGATCAATCACCTGGAGATAGCTAGAAAAGTCGGAAAATAGGGATGGAGCAGGGGAGGGAAGCGGGGAGAGAGGCAGAGGATGTCTCCTCTCAGTCCTAGGGAACTGGTTTCCTGGTGACCACGCTGCCAGGTCCCCCCAAGGACTTGCTAAGAATCCACTATAAGTCCCCTTGGAATTCCCACCTAAACTGCCTAGAGCTGCTTCTTCCGAGACCTATTCCCGGTGTTCGTGGAAAGGCTGCTTTTAAAAGTCTTTGCCCTCACAAAAAAAAAAAAAAAAAAAAAAGTGGGGGGGGCACCTGGGTGGCTCAGTCAGTGAAGCAGCCGACTCTTAATCTCAGCTCAGGTCTTGATCTCAGGGTCGTGAGTTCAAGCCCCACTTCAGGCTCCACACTGGGTGTGGAGTCTACTTTTTCAAAGAAGTCTTTTCCCTCCCCTCGAAGGCTTAGACACCTGCAGGTATGATCTGCTACATAATTTGCAGAGCCCTAGCTTCAAACATTAAGGATTTCAAGATGGCAACATGAGAGCATGGAACCAAGTGCAGGCTCTTCTGGAGTGCGGGGTCCTGTGGGACCTTAGAGGTCACACTCGCTTGAAGCCTGCCAATGGCTAAGTGTCAGTGCTTTATGAGATATGCTTCTGCTGTGCATCCCCACTTCGTCATGGGTGTGAGAGCACACACCCACCCGACAAAGCCCCCCTCCTTCCCGGCCCCCTTCCCACCTGGTCATAAAATACATCCACACCCTCTGCTCGGCTGCTCCCGTGCGTATCTGCCCAGTTTACCCACAGAGACTCCTGTAGAAAAGGATTCTCATTCTGTTTCTCTACTTATTTACTCCACCTCCTCTCCAGCCGACTTTTTGGTTAATAGATTTTAACCTTTTGGGTAAGATGTGAATATTCTCACCCAGTCACAGGAACCATAAAATGAGAAAATGAAGGGATGTCTTCTCTTAGACACCACAGTTAAGATGCAATTCCAGTGTAGGGGTAACCCAGGGAGTGGCTATCAGCTAGAATTTTCTCCCTGGAGAGGAGGGTCTGGGGCAGCCTGGGGACACGCTGACATTTGCAAAATCCCACTTGACAGTCATCCTGTTTTTTAGCAGTGTGAATGCTGTGATCTCTGCATTTACCTAGATGAGGAAACCGAAGCTCAGAGAAGTTAAGTGACTTCCCAAGGTCACACAGCGAGGAAGCAGCACAATCAAAACTAGAACCCTGAGGCCTGGAACAGACCACTTTTCTCTACACACACTGAGGAAGACCCCAGCCCTCCCATCTGACCATTACTTCTGTCCACAGTGGGGCATTTTATAAAATGCAGCTTAAGGCTTTGAAGCGGTTTCCATTCTATTTGTATATAAAAGAATCGACTCTGGGGCGCCTGGGTGGCTCAGTTGGTTAGGCGACTGCCTTCGGCTCAGGTCATGATCCCGGAGTCCCGGGATCGAGTCCCACATCAGGCTCCCTGTTCGGTGGGGAGTCTGCTTCTCCCTCTAACCCTACCCCCTCTTGCGCTCTCTCTCTCACTCTCTCTCTCAAATAAATAAATAAAATCTTTAAAAAAAAAAGAATTGACTCTGATTTCTGCTTTCCTCCAAAGATAATAACTTCCCAGCTAATTTTTATTTCTCTGATTCTCACTCTTCAGAGACAACCCTGCTGCCCAATTTAACCTCAGGACTCACATGAATTCCCGGGATCTGAAGATGGCCATAGAGAAAATCACCCAGAGAGGAGGACTTTCTAACGCAGGTATGCGATCCAAATTCACATCATTCTATTTTGCTTCCACGGTTCTCCCTCTGTGTGAAAAAATAATAATAATCCATCAAGAAATGACTCACATAGTATTTGTATTTTTTCTAAAGTATCATCGAATTTAGGGGCAAGAATCATTATCACACGTATGCTGGAGAGTTCCAGCATGCCTGGTTCCTCGGGTTGGCAGCTTTCTTTGGGACAAGCAGGACTGCTATTATAACTGTTTCCTGGTTGGCTGACATGTCATCAAGTATGTAACATTAAATGTTATAACCAATTCCACTCAGAAAGCTCCACAGCGCCCCTTGGGGGTCTTCTTCCAATGAGCTCCTGTTACAGTGACGGCTGTACAAAGAGAGACAGGTTCTTTGTTTCAAGCTGAGTCTCCCGAGATGTCTGAGCCTTGGTGGCTAGGAGGTGGGGTGGCAGGTTTACCAGAAGTCCAAGTCTAGCCAGCATGGGGCAGGTCCAGACACCATTTTATCAGTTCACCAGGATCTAACCAGCCATTGGGAAACAGTTTCACACTAACCAAGCTCAGAGGCTGCCAGTGAGCCAGTGAGTGAGTGTGCCAACCTACCAATTCGTAAATGGTGGTCTGGCTTTGGGGGCACTGGGACGGCTGTCTGCCTCTCAGGGAACCTCTTTGTATCATCAACATCCGAAGAAATGGAGAAGTGAGCCGCGGTGGCTTGGCATAGAGTGCACACAGACCTGTCTTTGAAGAAACATCTTTGAAGTTACTGTAAATATGATACAGTGTACATCTCTGTAGACCAGTATAGTAGTATCTTGAAAATGAAGAGCCTTTGAAAAACGCCAAAAAAACACTGGCCAAGTCACTGCTATCCAGGACCCCAAATCAATATCACCTCGTATTAAACATGATAGAGTTGATTTCTGATTTGTTTTCGATTGAGTACTTAAATCAATGACATTCCAGTAATGAATCATGGAATAAGACTGAAACTTCAGAAGATACCCTATATCCTTATCCTTGATGGGATTAGAGTGGTGTCTTAATAAAATCATATCCCTTTTTTAGGGGATAGCATATTCTGTTTCTGCCCTGTACTGATCAGGGTTTGGGTTCAGAGAACAGGATCCATTTCAGTGGTTGAAACAGAGAGGGATTTATTCCTAGGTACTAAATGGTTTTGAGAATAATCAAAAGGGCTGAAGAATGAGCTCGAGGCTGAACTTTGAGAGATGACTTCTGATGGCTTCCTGCAGAGCCTGGACCTCTAAGAAGCTGCTGTCTCTTCCAAGATCAGGAAATTGCACAGCCTCTTTGGGAATCTGACTCAGCCAAGAAGCCCCCACAATCAGGGGGCTTCTGCTACAGCCGTCAGCCCCCAAACCAGGCCTTGCCTTTTCCATTCACACCCACAAAATGCACGTTCTGCACCCTCCCACCCCAACAGCAACAAAGCTAGAGACCAGACATAGTTTCCTCTAGCACCACCCAGAGAAGTCAAGTACCCTACAGATGCTCAGCAGCAGAAATAGCAGAGTCAAAAGTACATACGGTCTCTGCCTCACTTCCCTCTTCTAAATCTCATGTGTGCACATTGATTCATGAAATTAGCACAAATCCAGGGCTGTAGCTGCAAGAGAGTCCCAACAATGTGGTTTTCGGGGTTCTGGCCTCAGCTTTCAAGACATGCTGGAAGGTGGATGGGATCTGGGGTTGAGCACTAGTGGACTGTGACCTCCAGATTTAAGACTGGGTGAGGCCAGGGGTGTGCTCTGTTTATAGGCATCCAACATTCAGCCAGAGGGGCCTGCTGGATGCCTTGGGCCTCCAGGGACATTATCCCTTGGCTGTGAAGGCAGTTCTCTTCTCAGCGGCTGTTTCCCCTTAGCGGCTGTGCTCTGTGCAGCCCGATCACGTGGGGTCTCCAAGCCATTTCTCCAGCTCGTACGTATGTAACTATTTGATCCTGTCATTTACCAGGTAAGATTACACTAGCCAGTGGAGCCAGAATCCTGGCCCAAACCAAAAAGCATTGAGTGTAATGATTTTAGTCCTAAAGTCTTTTTTTTTTTAAGATTTTTATTTATTTATTTAACAGAGAGAGAGAGAGGGCACAAGCAGGCAGAGCAGCAAACAGAGGGAGAGGGAGAAGCAGGCTCTCCGCCAAGCAGGGAGCCCGATGTGGGGCTCGATCCCAGACCCTGGGATCATGACCTGAGCCGAAGGCAGACGCTTAACGACTGAGCCACCCAGGCGCCCCAGTCCTAAAGTCTTAAGACTTCAGATTGATTTTATTTAGATTGAGGACTGCTTTGAGAATCTCCTGAAAGCTACTCTTCTACCTAAATAAATACTTATATACACAAAATATTGTGTATAATTTCAGGGGATTTATGGATATACCATCCCCCCCATGCCCCACAGGGGTCCACAGAGCCCTGTCTTCTTATTTGCAGTTATGCTAACTCTACACTGACCTGGTCATCCCAATTTACCCAGGAGCATATGGGGTTTCAGCGCTTACACTGGGAGAGGCCCAGTAAACTGGGACAGTTGGTCCCCCTCCTTCAGTGAGAAACTCCTGAGGTCCTAGACAGTGTGAAACAAGTGCTTTGGGAAGCTATGTTGGCGGCTCTGTTACACCTCCCAGCTGTGGCTTTCTGCTGAAATGGAAATCTGAAGTGGGCTGCCTGGGTCCTCACAGCCAGGGCTGGAACGCAGTCCCTCAGTTCTCAGTGAGTACCGTGCTTCCCCGGCCAGCCGGACCCGTGCCCCTCCCATGGAACTGGACAGAAGACGCCACTGCACCTGGAATACAGCCGTCCACACCCCACAGCCCCTGGAGCCCCAGGCTGGCCAAGCCCCAGCTGCAGGAGGCCGAGAAGAGGCTCCTGTCAGTCAAGGCCAGCCGCTCCTACCCCGTACTCCCAGAAAGAGCTTTGTGCACTTCGAGCACCCAGCAAAGAAGGGACCCTCTTACTCCCATGGAAGCCTTTCTCATCTGTTTGCTGGTCCCTAAGACTCTTTTTTTTTTTTTTTTTAATAATAGAGAATCAGAAGTGAAAGGCCTAGGGCGCCTGGGTGGCTCAGTCATTAAGCATCTGCCTTCGGCTCAGGTCATGATCCCGGGGTCCCGGGATCGAGTCCCACATCGGGCTCCCTGCTCGGCAGGAAGCCTGCTTCTCCCTCTCCCACTCCCCCTGCTTGTGTTCCTGCTCTCGCTATCTCTCTCTGTCAAATAAATAAAATCTTTAAAAAAAAAAAAAAAAGAAGTGAAAGGCCTAAAGTGAAATGGGGGAGGGAAACGGATGGTGGTGATGGTTGTACAATGTGAATGTGCGTAAGACCACTGAACTGTACGCCTCAAAATAGTTCATGTGGTTTTAAAAAAGGAAAAAAGAGAAACAAACACGCAAAGGGAGGGCATGAGAGGGTTTCTCTGGCCGTCTGGAAGTCGCTGGGATCTTGCCTCTATTTCCAAGCCACGTGATCACGGTCACTCCACGCATGAGTTTTTGGTTTCTTCCAGGTCGGGCCATCTCCTACGTGACCAAGAACTTCTTTTCCAAAGCTAATGGGAACAGAGGCAGTGCTCCCAACGTGGCTGTGGTGATTGTGGACGGCTGGCCCACGGACAAGGTGGAGGAGGCTTCGAGGTTCGCAAGAGAGTCAGGAATCAACATTTTCTTCATCACCGTCGAAGGTGCCACTGAGAATGAGAAGCAGTACATGGCGGAGCCCAACTTCTCGAATAAGGTACGGAACTGCCCCAGGGACCCGCCCAACACCAGCATCCGCTGCACTTTGCGTAGCTGTAACAGCCATCGAGACTCTTCTCATGCCTTCAAACGGGTATTGAGCTTACTTCTAGGCAGGGAAGCCTCCAGTGAGAGGCTAGTAAGTGAGGGACTGGAATTGTCCTCTCAGAGCAAGACCCCACACTGCCCTGGTGAACTGAGGCCAGCACCAGCACCTCAGGAGGAGCGGTGTCCCTGAGGTCTCAGATAGAGGCTCCCCAGGGCACCTCCACCAGGCAGCCCAGCAGGGCTTCTCATGAGCATGCACACGGGCACGCATATACTTGCTTACCCACATGTGCACGCACACACACACACACACACACACACTGCAAATTAAACAACCTGATAAACAAGAAAAGGAAGGCAATGGCTCAGGTCAGGGAGATCAGGTTTTCAAACCCTGCTCCTGGGTCCTGTAGAGAGAGCTAGCAGCAGATGGGGGTAGGACAGATGGGGACCCAGGCCTCTGAACCCACTGCAACAGAGCAGCTCACCTTTTGTATGTGTTACACAGTGGGGCTCCACATAAACCTGCCTCCAAAGAAAAGGCCCCAGCTTGGAAAAGAAAGGAAGGTAGGGAGGAAGAGAAGAAAGGGAATGTCTTGTCCTGACTTGTCTTTGATGCCCTTCCAGCTTTAATAGTCTGTGTTTCCAGATCTGATAGGGCTCAACTTCCGGCACCATACCAAGCTGCTGACCACTCGATCATCCTTGAAATTCTCATCCCCCTTGACTTCCAGGACCCAATGTAGCTCTTATTTCATTTGCTCTCTCCTCTTTCCTGTCTTGTACCCTAAATGTAGACTTCCCCGGACTCGGTTCTTGGCCCTCTCCTCCTCTCTCACTGGGCTTTTTCTCCCTGGAGTTCCCGCCAGGCCACAGCTCCCACCTTCCCTCACCAGCAGCAGACACCCTCATCCTGTCCCCGTCCCTGGTCTCTCCTGAGCTCTGTAGCCATCTGTTCCAGCCAATTGGCTTTTCTCCACCCGATGTGCTGAAGAACCTTAAGTCTGACATGTGAAAAGCTAAGTGCATCATCTTTCCCACCAAATTCGTTCCTCCTCTGGACTTCACATGAAGGGCCCCACAGCTGTCCCAGAGGCCCAGAGTCATCCCAGGAGGCCTTATCAACTCCCAGTGCCACCTCCCTAGGGCAAGCTAGCACTCTACATCTGCTCTGTCTCCCTGTCTGGGCTCCCCAGTTTGGCGTACATTTCACAGTGAAGCCCACTCATGTTGACGATGAGCTCTTCCAGTTTTATGGGGCCCTGCTTCAAACCCTTCATTGTCCCCCATTACTCTTGAGGCCCTCTGGAGTGTGGTCCTGACATGCCCAGTGTCTCCTGCCCATGCCCAGCACCACCGCCTTCTCCCTCCATGACCTCAGCCAGTGCCTGGTGGGACTCCCCCGACTCTGTCCATCGGCTAGAACTCAGCTCAGCCGGGACACTCATCTCAAATACCACCTAGGCTATGGAAAGATTTATAAGCCTCTTTTAGGTTTTTGCAACCCCTTAAAAGTATTTCCTCGGACATTTTAAAGTCATTTCTTGTTTTAAAATAAATGGTCAATTCTAGAACTTCATGTATAGTCACCAGGTCTGTGAATCTCCCTGTGACCCCCGGAGAGACAGCGGCAAGGAGAAAACGCCTCACTTTAGGAACACAAGCCTGGTCCCTTCCAGGAGCACACAGGCCAGGTTGATCCATGTTTATTTGCAGCTGCCTTGTTTTTTCTGGAACAAACCTGGGCACAAGTCAATAAATACTCATTTGTCTGGAGGCAGGGTTGTCTGGAGGACAGAGCTGGGGTTTTGAAGGCAGAGAGATTTGTGTTCCAGTCTCAGGGACTCAAGGATGTCCCTTCACAGCTGGCCCCCCGTTTCCTTCATGAAGGGGGGTTAGATCCACCTTGTGGGGTTAGGATGGGGGTTTATGAGAGAATCTCTCAAGAACATCTAGTGTGACTCCTGACGTATGTGTGGGACCCCTTGTTGCTGGGCGCAGGGCCGCTCTGGAAACACTCCTCTAGCTATTTCTCTTGTGTCTTGTTTTCCCGATCAGAACAAAAGCTTTCTTTAATCCTCTCAGATGTTGGTGCCCACCAGTGCCAATCTTATGGACAGCTGCCCGTACAAATGAACCGAGGGGCCCAGAGAGGCATAAATATGAAGCTGAAACCAGTGATTCACCTCTCTCTTGAAGGATTTGCTTCACCGATGGCTCTCCCCTAAAGCGGAGACCCAGCTGAGGGAGTAGGAGTGAGTCCAGGGCTGACCCCAGTGGGCATCTGACCGGGTGGACCGAGGTAGAGAAAGAGCTGTAGGAAGAAGAGTGCAGAAAACAAGAGTCTGTCTGCTTCTTTCTTTGCCTGCCCTGGCGGTTGGGGTCATGGTGACCGCCTGGAGAGTTCGACACCCGAGCTGGCGAGTACCCCTCCCCTCTGTCTTGCAGGCGGTGTGCAGAACGAACGGCTTCTACTCGCTCAGTGTGCAGAGCTGGTTCAGCCTCCACAAGATCGTGCAGCCCCTGCTGAAGCGGGTCTGTGACACTGACCGCCTGGCCTGCAGCAAGACCTGCTGGAACTCCGCCGACATCGGCTTTCTCATCGACGGCTCCAGCAGTGTGGGCACGAGCAACTTCCGCACAGTTCTCCAGTTTGTGGCCAACATCACCAAAGCGTTTGAGATTTCAGAAACAGACACGCGGATCGGGGTTGTGCAGTACACCTACGAACAGCGCCTGGAATTTGGGTTTGAAGATTACACCACCAGCTCCGACGTCCTCAGTGCCATCAGTAGGGTGGGCTACTGGAGCGGTGGGACCAGCACAGGGACCGCCATAAACTACGCCCTGGAACAGCTCTTCAAGAAGTCCAAGCCCAACAAGAGGAAGTTAATGATCCTCATCACTGATGGGAGGTCCTACGACGACGTCCGAATACCGGCCATGGTTGCCCATCACAAGGGTAAGTTGGTCTTGCTGAGCATCTCGGGGCCATGGTGGGCCAGTGGGACAAGGAAGGGGCCGTCTTCTTAGGCTCTGGTTTTGTCGACCATGTAATAAAATGCTCAAAACCACAGGGAACACATTAGGGGTGTTGTTAAACACGACTAGCCTCGCTGAGCAGCAAAGGAGAAAGGCGGGAGCCCCGAGGTGGTTTCCAAAGTGTTGTGGCAAACCCCAGGCCTACAGGCGACCGGGAACATCAGGCCTCTCCTTTACGTCCGACGCTCTGAGGCCTTACACACGAAGGTGTAACACACTGAAAAGGAATTTGACTCATTATTGTAATTTCTACTGAAGACCACCAAATTGTGTCAGAAATTTGAAGAAAACTAGCGTTTTAAAAGAAAAGTACTATTTTTTGTAAGCAACTGCTAGCCAGATGTTGGGGGTTTTGAGGAAACCTCAAAGGAATTTTCATCCAAAGTATTTAAAGAGATATTTCCAAGTAAAAATTTGTAAGAGAGCAACAGAGAGTTTAAAACCATGAAAAATGAGCAAAAATATTTTTGTAAATGCTTAGACAATCAGTCACATTTAACACCTTTTTCCACAGAATCAATGTTTAATCACCATTTTCAAAAGTACCATAAAATACCATGAAAATACAAACAACCTGAAGAAAACCCCCAATGATAATAATAATAGTAACGATAATAAAAGTAAACCAAGTTGTCAGTGAACACCCATGACCCATAGATAAGTGTTAGTGTACAAGACTCACTTGGGGCCAGGGTGGCTCCCTTCTGTGCCTGCATTTAATTTCTGTTAGTTTGCAGGATTTTCAGTATTCTTTAAAGCTGCTTTGAATCCTTCCCTAAACAAGGAGGGGTAAAAACAAACAAGCCCTAATGGACCAGCAGTTCTGCTTTCTGGAAACCAGAGTAAGCCGACAGCAGGTTCAAGCAGTGATTCACCCTTGTAGAGCCTGTGGGGCAGACTCACAACGGCAAGGTCGGAGATGGTCTGCGTGCCAGCAGTCACAGCATCCCTTGGGCTCATGTCCGCAGAGTGGAGATGGTTGAAGGCTCAGAAGGAACCTACTAAAAGTTCCAAAGTGAGTGGGCAGAGCCTGGTGGGCCAGCTCTTGACTACAAGCCCAGGGCTCTCCTGCTATGTCCAAACATCTGTCTCCACCTCACGGTCAGCCCCACTCTTACTTATTTTTCTAAGTGGACTTCCATTGGCCTCACCCAAAGGCTATCCTTGGCCTCCTCATCAGGAGAAGTGAAGACTGAGGGAGATGTCCTGGGAAGCTTTAAAGAACTAGGACCAATAGATGCCAATTACACGGAGACAATGAGCATTGTGTCCCTAGAAGTGTCCACAGCAGGGCTGGCTGACCATCTGTCAGAATTGCTAGTAGAAGGTTCCCAAGAGGGTAGACTCGAGGATCCGAAAAGCTGAATTTTGAATACCGTTTGTGTTGTCTTTATTGGGGGGCAGCCTTTTGATCTTTGTGCAAAAACGAGGGCTTAGTCCGTCTAAGCCATGTTCTGCAGCAAATCTGTTCCCACTGCCTCTGGGCAGCATGTTTTAAGCCCAGTGCTCACGTTCGTAGACAACAATGTAGACAATATGCAGAGAAAAGACACTGGCGAGGTAAGAGAAGGGACTGGCAGCTTAAATGCAGCTTAATGAGCCACAGTTGAAAAGCAGCTTAGGGCCAGAACCATGTGAGGTGTGGATTGCTCTCCAATCAGCAGAACAGGGCACTGGGGAGATGCTGGACATGGTGGCATGGGATACCACGGGTGGCTGGGCAGGAAGGCCACACCCTGGCTCTTCCCTCGGTTTCATGGCCATGTAGCTGACCCCACTCTGCCAGCCTCCCATGCCAGGCATGGGAACAGGCTTTTGTAGAGTAAGGTCAAACCCCTGCTGGCCAGCCGCCCCCAACCCCAATCAAGAACCACCCACCAGTCTCCCAGCTTCCCCACTGAGAATAGATGCCTAGTCTCTGAGTCTGTCCTCTCCTCCCTCTGGCCTCTTGCTCCCCACTGCAGTCCTGCAGCTTTGGTCCCCCTGCACTCTTTCCCATTTGCATCTAGACATGCTGGATCCCTCCCAAAAAAACAAAAACAAACTCTGACACCACGTTCTGCTCCCCTTCCCTTTCTCTTTACAGCCAAACTTCTGGAAAGGGTTAGCTCTATGTGTTGCACGCCCACATCTTCATTGCTTTTTTCACTCTCAACACACAGCAGCTCATTTGGTTCCTTTGGCATCTGTGCCCCCGAAACTGCTCTCACCAAGCTACCAATGTCTTGGTTTTTTCTAAATCCAGCGAGCACTTTGTTTTAATCTCACGTGACCTCCTGCAGCATTCAGCACTGCTGGTCACTCCCTTAACTTGAAAACCTTTCTTCATGTCAGTGATGGAGCAGATGCTGGGTCACCCTCTCTCTGGGTCCTTGTGCAAGGGTTTCTACACTGGGAACAAGATTGCATTTTATGGCGTGTAAAGTCACCTTCAAGCCTAAAGTAATTCAATTCCACTGTTTGAGGTTAGGAAGATCTTGACCTGACCTTTGATGCATTTAAAACTGAGGGGAGGGGCGCCTGGGTGGTGCAGTCTGTTAAGTGTCCGACTCTTGGTTTCAGCTCAGGTGATGATCTCCGGGTCATGTGATCGAGCGCCATATTGGACTCTGTGCTCAGCGTGGAGTCTGCTTAGAGTTTCTCTCTCCCTCTGCCCCTCCTCCCCATAAAATAAACAAATCAATCTTTAAAAAAATTATAAAATAAAATAAAACTGAGGGGAGCCTGGCTGGCTCAGTCAGGGGAGCATGAGACTCTCGATTTCAGGGTTGTGAGTTGGAGGCCCACATTGGGTATGGAGATTCCTTTAAAAAAAATAAAATCTTTTAAAAAATAAGTAAACAAATAAAACTCTCTGAGATTTTGTTTGGCTCTACACACAGGTAGAGCAGGCGTGTGCATTGTGATGTCATCTGCATGGCATCAAGTTTCACTTGTCCCAAAATATCATCCCTTCTACTGCCCGTGGACATGAAAATCGTATTTATTTACTCCATTTTGTCTGGGTTTTCTTCCTCCCAAAGATTATAAGCTCCTATGAGATAGCAACTCTATCAGTTCTGTTACTGTTGGTGTATAGCAGGTGCTTATGCTTTGGGGAGCATTTCTGATTTTGAGTTTGTTTGCATCCCAACACAAGCGCCAACAGAGCAACAGAAAGGCAAGTGTTCACGCGCAGTACCTCTCCTTGGGCACACTGGCTTCATCTAACCTTTGTCCCCACAGGAGTGATCACCTATGCGATAGGCGTCGCATGGGCTGCCCAGGACGAGCTGGAAGTCATAGCCACTCACCCTGCCGAAGACCACGCCTTCTTTGTAGATGAGTTTGACAGCCTGTACAGAATTGTCCCCAGGGTCATCCAGAACATTTGCACAGAGTTCAACTCACAGCCTCGGAACTGAATTCCGAGCAGGTGAAGCCCCAGCCCATGCCGCTCTCCTGACTGGCTCTGGCACAGCCCCCGACGCTTTACGGGGCAGCAGGGTGCGTGGGGCTGGGCGCCCACACGCGCTCTTCCTATCCTTCACCAGTGTGGTTCTGCAGACTTCAAAACTTGGAGTGAGAAAGATGATCGTAGGTTTATAGAATGAGGCAAAACGATACATCATTTTGAGGGTTCTGGAGATGTGCATTTTGACGACTGTTTTCAAAATAAATGTTCAGACTAGAGTGCAGGACTTACGACAGGCTTAACTAGAGTTTTTGTGAAGTTTTTTTTTTTTCCTTTTTTATTTCTAATTAGGATTCTGTAACCCTCAACAAATTTCATTTTTATGACGACCATACAGGAGTTGCTTAATAAATGTTTTAAAGGACGGCATTCTGAGCGTGTCGTGGAGAGTGTTCACAGGCTGTGTGGCAGGACCACCCTCTGCTCTTCCTGTTCCCCGGGGCCACCTGCTCTGCACTCAGTCCTGGCCCACAGTAACAACACAGCCACCGGGTGCAGAGAAAATGTGGCAGCGACATGGCCACTCCTGATTCACCTCCCTTTTCTCTATTATCTGAATCACTGTGTACCTGCCTCCCCTAGCTTTAGGAGCAGTCTAGGAACGGCCCTGGAGGACCAAGGGGATCTGGCCCCGAATCCCTTGGGAGAGCACAATGCTGGGCGGCAGGCCCCATTCCAATAGCTGTGGGATCTGGGTCTGTGGGGCAGGAGCCCGAGCGGAGCCCCCTGGCAATACCGCCGGGCTAGCACGGATGGAGGTCCACGGAGCTACTTCGGACGGGTCGGTGTGATAGGAGAGCCCCTCCTGTCAGGCCTGCTCTCCTGGGTCCCACCCAGCTTTAGCACTGGGCCGCATTTGTCATGTGTTCACCAGATATTATCATTAATAGCTGCATTAAAATAAGCCGGGATGGGGTTTAGTTGAGCTCTACTTTTTACTTCCAGCTTCTGCCAAGGATTCATCTATTAGGATATGAAATCTATGTGTGCTGGGGGGGTGTTCAAAAGAATCATTAATAAAGATGACTTACTTGAGAAATCGTGTTTTGTAAAAGTGTGTGTTAAAGGATGCTGCTGTGTGGGGCGCCTGGGTGGCTCAGTCGTTGGGCGTCTGCCTTCGGCTCGGGTCATGGTCTCGGGGTCCTGGGATCGAGCCCCGCGTCGGGCTCCCTGCTCCGCGGGAAGCCTGCTTCTCCCTCTCCCTCTGCCCCCATCTTGTGTTCCCTCTCTTGCTGTGTCTCTCTCTGTCAAATAAATAAATAAATAAAATCTTTAAAAAAAAGGATGCTGCTGTGAATGGAGGCAAAAGGTAACACCTGTGTCAATACTTGGGACAAAATATCTACATAAACAATTGGAAGATATCATCCATTTAGCAGAATTTGCCCCAAGCTTACCGAATTTCTCAGTACCTGGAGAGTGTATTATCAACTAAAAATATTGACGTCTACAGAGAAGAATCCATTAAAGGTGTCAGCAATTTCAAATTCATTAACCATACATTTTACTTTAAAAGCGATCGCAATTTGCGATTTGTTCAGAAACCTCAAAATACAAAAACTATTTTCAGAAAAGAAGTTCTTTATAAAGATACCAGTGACACACACTACTAGTGAGAGATTCAGCTAAGAAACTAATTAAAGAACTTAAGTAAGTACAAGGAAAAATTATTCTGCCTATGGTTTTGAATATGCAGAGAATCAGTACAAAAGTTTTTTTCAATGTCTCTTCAATGTACACATATAAGTGTTTTTAACTGTTTGAAGGAAAATTTATTTTGGAAAATAGCTTTTGAATATGATTATTTTATATTTGAAAAGTAAAGTGCCTTAATACAAAAGCCAACTTGTCATCAATAAGTAAATATTTCCAAAAGTAGTATAATCTTAATTATTTCGGTGTCCTCTTTCATTCACAAAATTGTCCCCGTCTGGAAAATAAATTATATGGTCGCTCTAGTTATAGGTATCACAGTTTTAAAAATACATGAAACCTCTCTAAATGGGCCCATCGTGTACATGCTGTCAGCTAATACCTGAGTGTGTGTGTGGAGGAAAGGAGCACCAGAGGTGCGGTAGTCGACGCGCCCGGAGGCTGTGGTGTCGCCAGAGTTGTCTGAGGATGTCCAAGTCACCACAGACGGCAACGGGAATTGGGATGGAGAGAGCTGAAGTGAGCCAAGCTTCACCACCTTCAGTGAACGAGAAGTGATCCAGCTGGGAGAAGACAGCCGTGATCAGGACGAAGCCCTGAGGTCAGCTCTTCAGGGGAGCTGGGGACTTTGTGGAAGGAAGGAGGGAGATTAGAAAGGGAAAGGGGGGGGAGCGGAGCAAGATGGCGGAGGAGTAGGAGACCTGGATTTCGTCTCCTCTCAGGAATTCAGCTGGATAGGGATCAAACCATTCTGAACACCTACGAACTCAACAGGAGATCAAAGAAAAGAAGAGCAACAACTCTCTCATCAGAAAAGCGACCACTTTCTGGAAGGTAGGATGTGCGGAGAAGTGAATGCGAGGCGATATTCGGGAGGATAGACAGCGGGGGAGGGGCCTCCGTCGGCCGCTTCTGGCAAATGATAGAGCCGCGGAGCACAAAATCGGAACTTTTAGAAGTCGGCTCTGCTGAGGGACGTCACTCTGGTGGCTAAGCGGGGGGTGGAACCCTCCGGGACAGTGTGGTCTCAGGACCCTCGGGGTCACAGAAAGACCGGGGGTGCCTGAGTGAGGCAGAGCTCCCAGGTAACGGAGCAGGGAAGCCGGCTGCAGAGAGGGAGCCCAGGCGCGGGCTCTCAGCTCGGGGTCGCCATAAACCGTGATCCGCGGCACAGTCGGGCCCCTGCTCCTCCAGCAGGGACCCAACGAGCGGCAGATCCGGGGAGACTCACCTTCCTCCCCCGGGAGGAGCCGCGCGGGAGGGCACCGCAGGGATCTGCTGGGTTTGGAGACTCCACACGGGTTCGGGTGCCAGAGATAGGAACGCGCGGTCACAGGCCGGGTGAGCACGGGGTGCGGCCGGAGACGGGGGAGACGGGAGTGACTGGCGGCTTTTCTCTGGGGGCTCACTGAGGAGCGGGGCCCCGAGTTCTCGGCTCCTCCGGAGCAGAGATTGGGAGGCCGCCATCTTCACTCTCCGCCTCCAAAGCTGTACGGAAAGCTCGCAGGGAACAAAAGCCCCGGAGAGCAAACCCGAGCGGATTACTTAGCCGGGAGGGGGCAAGGGCGGGGCAATTCCGCCTCCGGCAAAGACATTTAGTAACCATGGCAACAGGCCCCTCCCCAGAAGATCAGCGACAACAGCCAGCCAAGACCAAGTTTACTGATCAATGAGAACGGCAGAACTCCAGCGCTAGGGGAATACTGCACATAGAATTCACGGCTTTTTTACCATGATTCTTTAGTCTTTTAAAGTTAATTTTTTTTAATTGTCTTTTTGTCTTATTATTTCTTTTTGAATTTTTCTTTTTCCCTTTTTCAACCAACATCTTATCAATCCCTTTTTTTAAAAAAAAAAAACATTTTTATTTTTCATTTTTAGAGTCATATTCTATCCCTTCATAGTAGTTACCCATATTTTTGGCTTATATATATAAGTTGTTCTCTCTTTAAAATTTTGAGATAGTTTCTTCTAACAGATTAAAATATACCCTAAATCTCTAGTATATGGTGCTTTCTATTCCCCTGCCTGATCACATCCTCTCCCTTTTTTTTTTTCTCTTTTTCTTTTTTCTTTTTTTAAATCCTCTTCTTTCTTTTTTCAAACAACTTCTTATCAATTCCTTTTATAACATTTTTTATAATTTCCATTTTTACAGTCATATTCCATCCCTTCATCATATCAACCCTTATTTTTGTACATATATAAGTTTTTCTTTCTTTAAAATTTTGGGAGGCACTTTCTTCTAAAAGACCAAAATACACCCCAAATCTAGTGTGTGGCACTGATCTATATACCATATAGATCATATTTGATCACATTCTGGTTTTCCTTTTGTTGTTGTTGTTTTGTTTTGTTTGTTTTTGTTTTTATCTTTATCTTTTTTTTTTCCTTTTTCCTTTTTCTCTCTTTCCCTTTCTTATCCCACTGCTTCAGGTCTTTTCTGATTTGTTTAGAGTATATTTTCTGGGGACGTGGTTATTCTGCTAGCATTTTGTTCTCTCATTAATCTATTCTCCTCTGCACAAAATGACAAGATGGAAAAAATCACCTCAACAAAAAGAACAAGAGGTAGTACCGACTGCCAGGGACCTACTCAATACAGACATTAGTACGATGTCAGATCTAGAGTTCAGAATCATCACTTTAAAGATACTAGCTGGGCTTGAAAAAAATATGGAAGTTATTAGAGAAACCCTTTCTGGAGAAGTAAAAGAGCTAAAATCCAACCAAGTAGAAATCAAAAAGGCTATTAATGAGGTGCAATCAAAAATGGGGGTGCTAACTGCTAGAATAAATGAGGCAGAAGAGAGAATCAGTAATATAGAAGATGAAATGATGGAAAATAAAGAAGCTGAGAAAAAGAGAGATAAACAACTACTGGATCACGAGGGCAGAATTCGAGAGATAAGCGATACCATAAGACGAAACAACATTAGAATAATTGGGATCCCAGAAGAAGAAGAGAGAGAGAGAGGGCCAGAAGGTATAATGGAGCAAATTATAGCAGAGAACTTCCCTAATTTGGGGAAAGAAACAGGCATGAAAATCCAGGAAGCACAGAGAACCCCTCTCAAAATCAATAAAAATAGGTCAACTCCCCGACATCTAATAGTAAAACTTACGAGTCTCATAGACAAAGAGAAAATCCTGAAAGCAGCTCGGGAGAAGAGATATGTAACCTACAATGGTAGAAACATTAGATTGGCAACAGACCTATCCACAGAGACCTGGCAGGCCAGAAAGGACTGGCAGGATATATTCAGAGCACTAAATGAGAAAAATATGCAGCCAAGAATACTCTATCCAGCTAGGCTGTCATTGAAAATTGAAGGAGAGATAAAAAGCTTCCAGGACAAACAAAAACTAAAGGAATTTGCAAACACAAAACCAGCCCTACAGGAAATCTTGAAAGGGGTCCTCTAAGCAAAGAGAGACCCTAAAAGCAACATAGACCAGAAAGGAACACAGACAATATATGGTAACAGTCACCTTACAGGCAATATAATGGCACTAAATTCCTATCTTTCAATAGTTACCCTGAATGTAAATGGGCTAAACGCCCCAATCAAAAGACACAGGCTAACAGACTGGATTAAAAAACAAGACCCATCGATATGCTGTCTGTAAGAGACTCATTTTAGAACCAAAGACACCCCCAGATTGAAAGTGAGGGGGTGGAAAACCATTTACCATGCTAATGGACACCAAAAGAAAGCTGGGGTGGCAATCCTTATATCAGACAAATTAGATTTTAAACCAAAGACTGTAATAAGAGATGAGGAAGGACACTATATCATACTTAAAGGATCTATCCAACAAGAAGATCTAACAATTGTAAATATCTATGCCCCTAACATGGGAGCAGCCAATTATATTAGGCAATTAATAACAAAAGAAAAGAAACACATTGACAACAATACAATAATAGTGGGGGACTTTAACATCCCCCTCACTGAAATGAACAGATCATCTAAGCAAAAGATCAACAAGGAAATAAAGACTTTAAATGACACACTGGACCAAATGGACTTCACAGACATATTCAGAACATTCCACCCCAAAGCAACGGAATACACATTCTTCTCTAGTGCCCGTGGAACATTCTCCAGAATAGATCACATCCTAGGTCATAAATCAGGTCTCAACCGATACCAAAAGATTGGGATCATTCCCTGCCTATTTTCAGACCACAATGCTTTGAAACTAGAACTCAATCACAAGAGGAAAGTCGGAAAGAACTCAAATACATGGAGGCTAAGGAGCATCCTACTGAAGAATGAATGGGTCAACCAGGAAATTAAAGAAGAATTAAAAAAATACATGGAAACCAATGAAAATGAAAACACAACTGTTCAAAATCTTTGGGATGCAGCAAAGGCAGTC